TTTTAATTTTGCAACATTTGGATTTAAAAGTTAAAACTTTGATTTGACTACTGCTCTGAGCTATACCCTCTATGACGGGACAAGATCACGTAACAAAATCATTAATAGATAATATTGAATTTTACAGTAGCCTAATTGATGAAAGTTCGCGGCAATTATTAATTAATATTGTCCTGAAAATTAAATTATAACCAACTACAAAATTTTATTTGAACTCATATTACGAAAACGTAGAAAGTTTGGTGAATGATATGAAAAAATATCGTCTGCCGAAAAAATGTCCCGTATCCATTCAATATAGTTAATGAATTATAAACAAGGAAGTAAGTAGATTAGAGAGTTAGGTTTAGAAATAGACGAATTATTATGTAGTTTAACTTTGGCACAGTCAGAAAATGATAGGAAAAAATGCGAAATTTTGCAACCAATTAATGAGGAATTAGCTATTAGTTTTGTTTGTGTTTTGCAAATGGACTAAATAATATTCAAATTAGTACAATATTGATTGCCAGAAATTTGAAATTCTGAGAGGATGCATTTCAATTGGCTTTAGATGAAAGCTGCATGATGTCATTAAACAGAGGAAATTATTTTCATTATTCATATAATCATTTTAAATCAGATAGGGATTCGCATTCAATAACTTATGAAAATTATAACTTAATAAACATGTTGCTCGATGGCGCAGGTGGATAGCGCTTTCCGCTGCGATCGTTGAAATAAAGTTAAGCAACTTTCGAATGGTCGGTCATTGGATGGATGACCAAAAATTTACTATCTCGAGTTCCTCCGTGCTTCGGAAGGCACGTAAAGCCGTTGGTCCCGGCTGCATATGCAGTCGTTAGCACCCACCAATCCGCACTGGGCCCGCGTGGTGGGTCATGGCCCAATCTCCCTATTCCATCCATAGGGAAGGCCTGTGCCCCAGCAGTGGGGACATTAATAGGCTGATGATGATGATGGTGATGAAACATGTTGGATCCAAAGTCTATAAATAGGACGTCCAAGTGCATGGTATCGGATTATCGCATATCAGGCCACGCACGATTTTCGCGAGATCAGCAAAATCAACCTCATGCCACTAAGGAGTTATACTCTTTATGATAATAGCGTAATGATGATATATTCGTATATGAATGTTTCGATATGAATTTAATTGAAAAGATTATGGACTCGAATAATATTTGTAAAAATAAATTAATAGGCAAGAAAGAAAATATTGTCACTTCAGAAAAAGAAAATATTTTTTTTGTGAAGAATTCTAATGCTATCACGGACTTGACAAAAGAGAGACAAAAGGAGTCTCCAGGGAAAGACTCGAATTGTTACAATTATTTGTTAAAGATATTATTGATAAGAGTATAACAGATAAGACATGTATGTTGTCGGAAAATTATGTCTTTGTACCACTGAAATCGTGTATGTATATTCAAGCTTTGTCGTTGTTAGAAGGAAAAATATTAGCAAAGGATATTGATATATTTTGTAGAGAGTTAAATATAAAAGGATTGTTAATTGATGAGGAATTGTTTGAAAATATAAGAAATCTAATGAAGAAATATGAAGTAATGTTACCGAAGTTAATTTGTAGGAGTTATTTGAAAGAAAATGTAATGAAAAAGTATGAGAAAATTTTAAAGAAGTTTGAAAAAATAATGAAAGTATTATGAATAAAAACGCGTTAATATTTAGTTATGAAGGAAGTGTGGGAGAGAAAGATACTGTGAAGAAAGGAATTGTTTTGAAAGAATGTTGGTCGAAGAAAGATATGATAGACGTTCAGTAGGAATAACTTAGTAATTATATATTAATTAAGAAAAAAATAACTAAGAAAAAAGTTAGGAGATGATGGGTTTTAGTTTTCACTTTATATACATATAATGTTTTTACCAGTATTATTACGTTAATTATATTTTGAATAATTTTATTAAGTTGTTTTAAAGTATATTTTATGATGTCATGATTTCAATACAAATTATGTAAAAAAAATATAGTAACCATATTTTTTGTTTTTTTTAATTGTATATGACGCATATATTTTAATCGGTATTCGATTAAAAATACAGTGGATCCCCGGTAGTCCGACAAACATTTTGCGGGGCAGTGTCGAACTATCGAATTTGTCGGATTATAGACTATTTTTTTTACAAATTCCAATGACAAGATTACAAATTATACTTCGTTATGTATGTTAAATTAAGTAAATTAAACAATACAATAGAAAGATTACATTTTATTATAAAAGTAACGCTATAGCATTTACAAAAAAATATGCAATAACTTTACATTAGGAAATAATTGTGTACAAACAAATGTACATATGTACTAAAATAATCAAACTTTATGAATCAATCAATTTAAGAAGCATGAAAATATTCATATTTTTTTTTGTTTAACATTGTTGAAACGCGAAATGAAAGCTTTGTCCCTCAGTCTTCTTACAAGTAGAAGTTCGTTGTAGGATGCACCATTTTCTTCAGCTCATTGCAAACCCAGCTCAAAGGCGTTAATTGCATCTTCTGCTTTCACTTGCGGTACTCCGCAACTACTGTTGCAATTACTTCGTTGTCATCTTCTTGATTTATTGTTGTATAACTAGAAATCTCTTTTATAATCTCTTCGTCAGACATTTCATGAAAAATATTTTCCTCTTTATCCATTCCACGGCACCAGGTTTCCAAATCTTCCGGACTTATTTGTATTTCAGTAGCGATTTGTTCTATTACTTCCAAATCTACACTGATTTGTGGGTCGTTGGTAGGAGTGACGACTATATCTGGCCATAACTTTTTCGAAGATGATGTAATAGTTGATGAAGGTCAACTATTACATCATCTTGAATGTCGTGGAATGACATCCAAGATGATGATGATTGGCAAAGAGCAAAAAACAAGTCTTTAATATTAAATTCTTTTAACGTTTTTTCTATTGGCTGGTCTTTTAATACGGCTTTCAGAAGTAGGTTTTTCTTATAATCTTGCTTTACAAACTGAATGATATGCTGATCCATGGGTTGAATCAGTGCAGTGCAGTTTGGCGGAAGAAACATAGCAGTGATGCATTTATCCTCAGTTGTCAGTTCTTCTTCAGACGGATGACCGGGAGCGTTATCAAGAAGCAATAACGCTTTTTGAGGTAAATTGAATGATCTTTCAACCATTTTCTAACTTCTGGTACGAAGCATTCATCAAACCACTTTTTGAAAAGATCTTTTGTCATCCACGCACTTTTTTGTCCATAATAGTGTACAGGTAAATCAATGTTTTTGAATGCACGTGGTTTATTAGATTTTCCAACGACCACCATCTTTAGCGTGTGTGTACCCGCAGCGTTAGCACATGGTAGTATGGTTACACGTTCTTTACTTACTTTTCTTCCAGTTACGGATTTTTCGTCATAGGAAAAGAAAGTTTTGTTAGGTAACACATGCCAAAAAAACCCTGATTTTTCTGCATTGTACACCTGTGACCGGTTTAGATTTAAATCATTCACCTTTTGCATAATTCTCAATTTAAATGGCTCTATGCAGGTGGCATCATTAGAAAGTTTCTCTCCTGTAATATTCATTAAACGTATGCCATGACGACTTTTGAAACGTTCTAGCCATCCCCTGCTAGCCAAAAAATTTTCTTTTTTTATTATTTCCTTATAAAAATATTTAGCTTTCATGGCTAACATGGGTCCCGAAATGGGCGCATGCCTATTTCTTTCCTAAAGAAACCACATGTAATGTATAATAAAGCTTCTTCCACTTCTGGATGTTCAGCTTTTTTGAGTGTCTGTCTCTTTCCTGGCCCACAGTCAGTCACTCTCTTTCTGCTGCATATCAATGACTTAATTCCTCTTGGGAATGTTCATTGCTATGCAGACGATAGTACAGTGCATGCGGGGTATCTCGGGGTAGCAGCGGCTGGGCAGGCGATAACCAAGGAGAAACGGGAGAATCTTGTCATTGAGCTCAATCAGGCTTTGGACCACATTTCTGATTGGGGTCCAAGAACTTGGTTGAATCAATGCTTAGAAAACCCAGGTCTGCGCTTTCACGGCAAAAACGTCGCCATTCCTTTTATGTCCTTCTCTTCAGGGCACAACACTGGAGCTAGAGAGCAGTATCACCATGCTCGGTATGGAGATTCGCTGTGACTTAAACCAAAGAATAACATCGAAAGTGTGATAGAACAGCCTCACGCAAACTCGGAGTCCTGAACAAGGTGCAGCGGTTTTTCACGCCCGAGCAACTGTGCTTGTTGTATAAGACGCAGGTGCGGTCTTGCGTGGAATATTGCTCACACCTCTGGGATGGCTCCGCCAAGTACTTGCTCGATGCTTTGGATAGGTTACAACGGCGCGCAATCCGCATCATAGACAATGAGGAGGTGACTAAAAACCTCGAGCCTCTTCAATTACGCCGTGACGTGGCGTCACTAAGCGCGTTCTATCGTCTGTACCACGGCGAGTGTTCTGAGGAGTTATTCTCTCTTATTCCACCTTCCCTTTCCTTCAGAGGACCATGCGCGCTGGCTTACGTTGTCACCGTCTAACTGTAGCTACAATTCCAACGCGTACAAAGACATTTGGTGACTCATTTCTTTGTCGTACTATCTTTAATCTTACAACCTGGGATCCTTTAAAAGAGGCGTGAAGAAGCAACATGCAGGCCGGCAGGGTGAGGATGGCTGGTGTGGCAGGTAGAACTGCTGTATCAGCTATCTTCGCGTCTGGACTTCACCTTCATTTAACATCAGGTGGGGTGGAGTAATTTGTCGGACCTATCTATAAAAAAAAACCTTGTGTTCTACTAAATTGGTTAAACCTGATACAAATTACCAGAATTTAAATACAAACTACCAAACCAAGTAATTCAATAACCGAGTTCTTTATCATAAGCTATTTGCAAACTTTGGGCATTGCTTGTTATCGCAGGGGGCGGAATTGATTACATTATGAACAGAACTAAGTGATCAATCGTTTTAAACCCACCATCATTGAAGTGTGTGATTATGTTGATCTGTAGTATTTTGAGCGTGTTCATAGTATATCATAGTTTTCTTGGCATCCATGGTGCATGTCCTGCCAAGCGCCATGAGGCCGATCAATTCGAAGCTCAATTGCATACAGACCTGTTTTGTGCGTACAGCTCTACTGGCCGACCAGTGCAGGATCACAAAAATACTATCAATGTTGAAGTTAGATTTGCCATCACATACATTAGTTTTGACACGATAGAAGAAGTATTCACTGTTCACAGCAAAATAGCTATGACGTGGCGAGATGAGTTATTGTTCTGGGACCCTATTAACTATGGCGGCATCAAAGAAATCCAAGTAGACGGTCTGAATATTTGGACGCCGCGTATGGCGCTGTACAATTCAGACACATCAAGAAGTCAATTTGCTGGTATATTTACAACATGTTCACTGCTATATAATGGTACAGTGACTTGCAGTCCGCACGAGACGCACTCTGGCTTATGTCGCACATGGCTACGAAACTGGCCTTATGACAAGCAAAAGTGCACATTCTTTTTCGGTTCATGGATATATACCGGAGAACAGGTGAATTTTACTTTTTCTGCTAAGGGAGCAGTGGTCTACGAAAACTTCGATGACGGACCTGGTTGGAAATTACTCGACATTACGCATACGCGGTTACCAGGTAACTACGGACAGAACGAGACGTATCCCTCGCTTAAGTACGTGTTCGAACTTCAGAGAGAGGCTAAAGGGCTCGAGGCTATTATTGTTGTGCCTTGTTTAGTACTGCTTATAATTACAACTGTAACTTTGCTACTGGATGTTAAAGGAGACACGAGGGTGGCGTTGCAGTGTTTTACCTTATATGGTCATTTTATTTTTTTGAATGAAATCATGGTAAATATTCCGAAACAAAATTTGGAGACACCAATAATACTCTTGTTAATAAGGGATTCAACAATTATGTGTTTCTCTTCGATAGTGCTGACATTGTTACTGACACCGCTTCGCGAGTGTACCGATGAGCCCCCTTTGTGGTTGCTGAAACTGCTTCAGGTGTTGACTAGTGGGCCTGGCAAGTACATAGTGTTTACTGAATTCGACTCTAGCGATATAAACGAAAAAAACGCACTTGCCGAACAAGACCCCAATGAAGACCAAACGTCTAATGTGTCCGTTTGGATGACGTTAGCCAATACACTGAACAGTGTTGTTTTCATTATTTACATTGTGGTTTATTTGATACTTCTTTGTACTTACATTACAGAAGATTGATCTAGACTAATGTCTAGATTATTCAATCTTCTGTATTTTATACTATGTTAATGTAGGCAAAAAAATGACATTTCGTTTTTATATTAACGTATGTTACCATCGCATCGGTAAGAGGTAAGGCTTACCTCAGAGCAAGCTCAGAGCGTTTTTTACTAGACTTTTATTTAAATTATGTAAGCGTAAAACCTATTTATTTAGTAACTAAACTATGCTATCTTTAACTGGGTATATTGGGAAACGAACGTAAGCCTGCCTGAGTAACAGGGGGGCGTTAACTTTATCAAAGTGTACACCTACTAGTTGCTAATGGCATCTAAAAAATCTTCAATAACAATGTGCATGCTTACCAATCTGCTCGTGATATCCCTGACTCTGGGTTCGTGTTCTATTCGAGGTGACTGTCCAGAAGAGAGATTAACTACTGCTCACCATGAAGCACGACTCCATCAAGATTTATTTTGTGCTTACGATAAAACCTTTCCACCAGTGTGGCAACTAAACAACAGTGTTCTCGTTGAACTACAATTGAAAATTAAATATATCACATTCGACCCATCGGAAGTGTTATTTTCAATGCAAAGTAGTATAGTGATGAGATGGCACGATGAATATTTAATATGGAATCCTGACAAATACGGTGGTATTAAGCAAATAACAGTTGCCAGTCACAACATCTGGGTGCCGTACTTGGCATTGGTAAATTCGAAATCCACGGAATATGAGATGGACGAATTCCATACAAGCTGTGTATTAATTAACAATGGGTCAGTTATTTGCGTGCCTAATGTTTCGCATACCGCTCTTTGTAGCACAGAACTAAAGCATTGGCCTTATGATCAACAAACATGTTTATTGTTTTATCAATCATGGAGACATGACTTACGGCTCACACTGCCTAAAGCTGAATCAATTGTCCTAAGTGATTTTGAAAATGGTAAAGGATGGCAATTATTGAATGTCTCCGCGGTCGAGCTTGAAGATCAGAGTACAATAATTTACACTATTATATTGCAGAGAGAATCTGCTGCGTTTACTGCCATAATAGTTTTGCCATTTATTGTGATCGTAATGTTAAATTTCAGTACTCTATATATTTATATTAAATGTGATCTCAGATTGTCGCTGCAATGTCTTTCACTTTTTGCTCATTTTATGTTGTTGTTTCAAATAAATCGTGGTATTAAAAAACACGGTTCCGATATTCCTAAGTTAGTATTGAGTGTTCGCAACTCTATTATTGTTGCAGCGTCATCTATATTATTAACATTGCTGTTATCGTCACTGCGTCATCGTCGAGTACCACAGTCTGCAAAATTTGCTTTAATATGTCGCTTCTTTAATGACAGATTTGACAAAATCATTATTTTCACCAAGTTCGAGTCGAGTGACAATACTAAGAACACAGACGACGCCAATGTTGATGAGAAACTTTTGAGTGCATTAGAGTACGTCAACGTATTTAACAATATACTTATTATTATTTTCATTATGTTATACATTTGTTTTTTTCTATATTAATAAGTACAAATAAATGAATAATATTATTTAATTTGTCATAATATGTTATGTTGTAACTTAAATTACTTAACCTGTCATGGACCTATGATATAAGGACTAGCTGAGTACAATAACAAAATGCGTAGCAACCTTACCCAATTTAAATTGATTTTAAATTACAGCCAAAAGTTGGCCTTGATGTTGGAATCTAACCACTTGCGATTGATAAAACTCTCTTAGTAAGTGTATGCGATCATCTTAGAAAATTCAGTTGTAATTTAGATAGAATAACTTCAAATTAATTATTGTCATTTTTCATGTCACCACTGTGCCTCAAAATGACGAACAGATCAAGACTTGTACACAAGCCGCCCATAGTAAAGGTAATTTCCGGTTGTTTCACGGTTAAGCGACACAAACAGAATGTTGAAATGTAGAAAAAAGTTAATTTTGAAATGTATCAAATTTATATTAGGCAAGTAGTTTTCGAATTAACAATGAATCCGAACGGTCCGAACTTCTACTTGGACAAACAGTATATTCTCTGGAATACTTGAATGCATATATAAGATTTATATTTTTTATTCAGGCACGGTGTATAACTGAAGCGAAGGCAAGTTATTTACTAGTCATGATATAAACCAAGCGAAGCTGCAGTGTCGTGCGTGGTCTCTCTACAAGTCTGAACAAATCCACTCGCCCGCGCGATTACGCGGATGCCAGTGCGTTGTCGTACCTATATGCCTATACAAATTAACATTCGTGCTACCGCCATCCGGCGCGGTTCGCGGTTCGTGCGTTGTTCACCTTTTGAAAAACGGTTAGGAAAATGTACCAAAGGCCCATGATTACATTGCTCCGCTGCCTATCTTGTGGTATTATGTAAAGACAGTCATAGATCAAAGTTTTCAAATATGAACTTTATCCGTGCGGTGACGAAGAAACAATACTACTCACCGCCCCTTCACTTTCCGCGGGTGTCGTAAGTAGTGACTAAGGGATATCGGAGCTTCTACCCGCTCTTCTGATGGTAGGGTGCCCAACACCCCCCTGGTTTGTAACAACCATACGCATGGTGAATAACCCGTGAAAGCTTCCCTTGGTCGCCCGTAACACAGTACAGGGGCCCTAGCGTTCTTAACCAGTTCGCTGCCCCATCATGTCACGCATAATCTCGGGGTGGACCGTCGTGCCGGTTAGTGACCGGGGCGTGGGGTCCCGGCGACCACTCCAGGGGGGGAGGGTCCGGGGGCCCTTCCGTCCGGTCGGTGTATCTCTTTTCTAGGCAGTTGTACCCGGCATTGGTACCCGGGAATTGAGGAAGTGCTTGAGGAATCCTGCAAAGCGAAAGCCAGCGCATACCTGTATGTTCGGGCGGATATTTGCTGTCGCCGTCTAAGCTGCCTGGAAGACCCCTCCTTCTCCTGTTAGCGGTGTAGACTCTGGTGCTTTGGCCAGTCTACTTGTGCCTCTACAGATCCCACACTGGTGGCCCTGAGACAACTCGACTCTTTGACCATTTTAGTCGGGCAGCAGATGATGCCCAGGCGAAATTTACCAACGCAGAACTGGTGTTTTTGAGGGACTTCAACTCCTGTGGTGGGTGTTGAAGTCCTCCAAAAACACCAGTTTATGGTTAGGCTCCTCCAAAACTGACCATGCCGGGATCTCTGCCATTGAAGTCACTCTCGCACATGACTTAACAGAACTGGTCGATCAGCCCACCACGATCCCAGATATAGCGAGTTAAGCGCCTTCTTCACTAGACCTTCTGCTTACGACTCATCCGCAGGAGTATCTGGTTATGGTGGGAGCTCCACTGGATTCTTCATATCATTGCCTGATATCTGCCAAGATGCCACAGGCCAAAACCTCTCGACCATTGGTGGTCAAAGGCAGGCTATGGCACTATGTATCAGCAGATTGGGATGGTATGCGCGACTACTTCCGCCCTTGGAAGCAGCGCTGCTTCAGTGAAAAAGACCTATCGCCCAGCGCCATTGCTATTACTGAGGAGATCGTAATGGAAACAGAGTATTACATTCCACATTCTGATCTCCTCGGTAAGGGCATACGTAACCGCTGGTTCAATCGCGACTGTGCTGATGCTTTTTCACGTCAGCAGATGGCATATCGTGCTTCAATCTGAAGCCGCGCTCTCAAGGATCCCGGGGTTGACTCACTAAAAGCTGCCTATAATAGTGATTTCAAGTCTTGCAAGAAGAGCGGATTTCCGAATGGGGTACCGGGTATCTTGGTTGAATTCAATGCCAAGAAAACCCAGGATTGTGCTTTCACGGCAAAAACATCACCATTTCTTTCCCTTTCCTCTCTTCAGGGCACAATCTTGGCGCTACAGAGCAACGTCACCATGCTCGGAATGGAAGTTTGCACAGACCTGAATCCAAAGGACGACAACGAAACCGTGATCAAAATAGCTTCACGCAAACTCAGAGTCCTGAACAAGCGGCGTTTTTTCATGCCTGATCAACTGTGCTTGTTGTACAAAACGCAAGTGCGGGGTCTTGCATGGAATATTGCTCGCACCTCTGGGATGGCTCCGCTAAGTACTTACTCGATGCCTTGGATAGGTTACAGCGGCGCGCTGCCCGCATCATTGGCGATAACGAGGTAACTAACAAACTCGAATTTCAACAATTACGTCGCGATGTGGCATTATTAAGCACATTTTGCCGACTGTACCACGGCTAGTGTTCTGAGGAGATTCTCCCTTATCCATTTCTTCAGAGGACCACGCGCGCTAGCCTTTGTTGTCACCGACTTACTGTGGCCACTAATCCTACACGAGCAAAGAAATTTGGTGACTCATTGCTTTGTCGTACTATTCACAAGTGGAATTCTTTGCCCCCTACGTCACATTTCAAAATCTATTATAATCTAAGTGTTGAAACTATTACTTTACGAAAACATTAACAACCCAAACAAGAACAAAGTGGTCCTATGCCAGTTATAAATAATTTAAGTGGATTCAATGTCCATGGACTTAAGATTATTAAGTTTGTATCTTTAATTGAATCATAATGCTATTAATATTTTTTGTTTTGTTAATTTATTTGATTAATAAAGTCAATCTTTTTTTGTTTCGTTAATTGATTGATTTGATGTTAATATTATTAAACAACAATTTAATTAGAAACAAAACTGATTTCAAAACCTGAAAGCAGCGGTTTTGAAATCAGTTTTGTTTCTAATATTTTCTAAATTTAGATGAAATGACTGCATAAAATTATTCACTCTCAGTTAGATTCTCCCTACCTGCTGTACCATATTAATTTTAATACTAATTATCGCTTTAGAAAGCCTATGGCATTTTTTGTTCCTGTATATCTCAATGAAAATTCTTAATATAACCCTCTATCACGTATGTCTCGCCAATATAATGAACTCGTCGTTAATGGAGCAGAAATAGATGTATTTGATCTTTAGTATTTAAGAAGAATCTAATTGCTAATTTGTAACATTTATAATTATTTAAACTATATGCTAGTAATCAATTTAGAAAAAATAAAAATATAAAATAATTTGGCTGTAGCTTAGCATGCCAAGCACTGTGTTATTATTATTTAGTCACTCTGTACTTATGTACATATTAAAGGTAACAGCCTTGTTTTTTGTGTGATAATGAAGATAATTTTGTACCAAATGTTTGTCTCCTGTTTGTACATCAAATAACAAAATGTAAATTTTTAAAATATGTGATGTCACACTAATTCAGATTCTCACAAATGTGACCAGCTGTGCTTCAGCAATATTGTAGTTTTTGCTATCATTTATTTTTTATTATTTTATTTTTGCATGGAAATCAGTGAATAATGTTAAAGAATATCGAATACAAACGTTCTATAATATAATTATAATTAATTAATAATTATAATATAATTTTCATATAATTCATATAACTTATTAAAATTCATATAATATCCCTTTAATTTATTAAAAGTAAAATATAACAAATTTTCCTTAAATCAAATGCAGCAGTGAACATATTAGGTATAAAAACGTCAGACATTACAAAAAAAACGACGGGTTGCACTGCCGGGAGTGCCGGCAGAAGTGAAAACTTGAATATTAACGTTGTGCATTTTTGATATTTTGGAATGGTTAGGGAATAATTTTGCACGAATTGCTTTGATTATCAGTATAAAAGTACTATCGTTTATGTGGTAGAATACTATATTTATTTATTGCGCTATCGGAACACAAACATGACAATTTATATTACATTAAAAAGTTTATCTCTCAGAATTTCTCATTTAAGCGCACCTAGCGACATCTATTGTAAAAAAATGGTTGCCTGTAAAGTCGGTTTTACGGGCGAAGATTTTACGTGACAACGTCTTTTTCTCGGTAGAATATTTATTGATATGAATATAATTAAATTGCACAATAGGAACAAGGAATTGAATGAAAATAAGAATTGCACAAATTTTAACTATAGAAATATATTTTGTTTACTAAAACATTGTACATGTAAACTTAAACTTAACACGAGAGACTCATCGTAACGTTACCGAGCGTTACATTTTTTCATAAGTGACTCCCAGCCGCAACCTAATTTAAGACGTTGTCACGTCAAAAATGCATTTTCTTCGGAATAAAGCTGCCACCTGGACGTCCTAGTTACAGACTTATAATTTTAATACGATAAAATTAAATATTACTATTATTCGTCCAATATATTGAAAGTCAACAACCTTTCCAATTTTATTGTTTTCGTCTTACGAATTTTAAATTAATTGATTTTTTTTTATTACGGGTTCGAGTTTTTTTCATTATTAATTTGCATTTTTTGAGAACATTTATCATAGTAGTGTATATTTTTTTTTTACCATCAGAAAGTAGAGATTTCAAAAAACAAAAAACACCCCAACTTTTTTAAAAAAGCAGATATTTTGACGTGAGAATTTTCGATTGAAAATTAGGGTGCTTTTTGGATATTAAGTCAAAATAAGGTGAAAAAAATGAATATTTTAAATCAAAAAAAATACTGTATGTTTGGGACATACAAAGGTAAGGTTTTCACCAAATTTCGTGAAAAATATTTTTTTTTGCAAAAAATAAAAATCAAAAACCAAAAACTCGGTTATTCGCATTTTTCACATAAATTTGCTGCCGCGAATCATTGCATTGCAGGTTATACGCTATATGTTCTCCTTCTAAAGAAAGATTACCCTCTTATTCCGTCTACCAGACGCATTAAACTCGCTGATGGACACATTCGAGACAACGGAGGAAACGGGAAGCTGATTCCAAAGGATGAGGATGATGAGGAAAGGCTGATTGGAACCAATTAGTTCCACATACACAAATATATAATGGACTTGATGAGAATTATCAACAGGTTCCGGCCTATTAAAACTTGGTGGGCACCTTACAATTACAGCATAGATGAAGCCGTGAGCAACTCTTCTTCTCTAGAAATAGACGACATTCACAAAATAAACCGGAAATCCTTAAAAGTTTTGGATAACAATTTGAAATAATATACCTAAGTGTCTATATTTACTTTTATATTCATGCATTTAATGTGTTATTATAAAGTTACAAGTCCGAACTGAACCGCAGACCACAGGCCGCAGCTGCAGACTGCAGGTCACACTACAGTTTCTATGAATCTGTGCTTAAGCCTATGTAAAGAAAAAATGATTTAATAATTGTGGAATAAACAAAAATGTAATAAACGTCATCAGTTCATTAAAATATTATTATTATTTATTTACTAAGTTACGACGTTGTTCTTTTTTAATTATTAATTACAATACAGTACAGATTTCATATAAATATCAAGCTTGATTAGTTAGTTTAATGCCATGTTTTTGACAAAATTCTTTTGAGCTTAGGAAGTGAATCCATAAAGATATCAATAATATCACTACAACCGTTAAGGACCATTGACAACCTTGGTATTGGGGAGTTTGTGCCATGTACTGTTTTTCGAAAAGGAGGGCACAATGGTGTAATGGGGGTACGGGGAATCCTTCTAGGAACACGAAGTTTAAATTTTTGCAATAATTGCGGAATGACGAAATCATCTTTGACTGTTAGCATTGCCAATCAAATGTAAGTAGGTAAGACATTTGAATAAATAGCCAAACGATCCTTAACTTGTCTTTAGGGGCCATCCATAAATTACGTTACACGGTTATGGGGAGGGAGGGGGTCGACGAAGTGTGACAAGGGGGTGGGAGGGGTCCTAAATTTCGTGACGTCACATTGCAAAATCTATTATAATCTAAGTGTTGAATCTATTACCAAACCTAACCAAACGAGAACAAAGTGGTGCTATGCCAGTTATTAATAATTTAAAGGAGTCGGTTCAATGTCAATGGACTTAATTTAATTATAATGCTATAAATATTTTTTGTTTTGTTAATTTCTTTAATAAATAGAGTTTTGTTAATTGTTTGATTTGATGTTAATATTATTAAAAAACAATTTAAATGGAAACAAAACTGATTTTCTAAATTTAGATAAAATGACTCTGCATAAAATTATTCACTCTCAGTTAGATTCCCTCTACCTGCTGTCCCATATTAGTTTTAATATTAATTATCGCTTAGGAATGCCTATGACATTTTTTCTTCTTGTATATCTCAATAAAACTTCTTATTATAAACCTCTTTCACGTATGTTTCGCCAATATAATGAACTCGTCGTGAATGGAGCAGAAATAGATGTATTTGATCGTAGATCTTTAGTATCTAAGAAGAATGTAATTGATAATTTGTAACAGTTATAATTATTTAAACTGTTGCTAGTAATCAATTTAAAAATATATACATATATGATTTGGTTGTAGCTTAGCATGCCAAGAACTCTGCATGCTCTGATAAATAATATCAGTAATAGTCACTCAGTGTGTACATATTAAAGGTAACATCCTTGTTTTTTGTGTGATAATGAAGATAATTTTGTACTGAATGTTTGTCACCTGTTTGTACATCAAATAAATAAATGTATTTTTTTAAAATACGTGACGTCACACTAGGGAGTGGGGGGGGGTGTCTCACAAATATGACCAGCTGAGACAAGGACGGGGGAGGGGCAAAAAATCTTGAAGTTCGTGTGACGTAATTTATAGATGACCCCTTATTAAGTGATAAAAAAACAATTAAATCTTATTAATGGTTGGTATTAAAAATATAATAAATTTTTAATAAAATAATATCACAATTGTATGATAAAATATTTAAATTAGTAATTCTATTATCTTATAACTTAAAAACATTAATATCATTATAAGAAACTGGATTCCTAATGAAATTCTAATTGTTAGAAGCTCTAAAAACACCCATAAAGAACACTGCTCTATTTTCTTGGTCAGCCAAAAAATACAGGAACGGTCGATCAGCTCTGAATACCTTGGGTGGTCTGGGCGCACACCTCTTCTTTATGACTTTCTTTATGATCTTAGCTATAAAAAAATTACCGCACATTAATGGTTTTACTGTTAGTAAACCATTAGAAAGATTTTCACAAACTTTTAATATAATCTATGTACCTATATGCTCAGCATTGAAAGTCATATTGAGATGATAAGTTTTAAGGAAGAGAATCGTTTTTACACTTAAAGTTACTTTTTAACAACCATAGTATTATAGCATTTGTCAGGTTGGTCTTTGCCACAATTAATCTTCTTATCTGTTTACGCCACTACAGAAAGCGAAACAGCTAATTAGCAATATTAATTATAATTAAAGACTAACACACGGTAATATATCTATACAGTATTGTGACTCGGGCCTGTCCTTGAAATAACTGCCTGCGGCCGAGCGGGGGCATCGTTTGAAAGAAGAAAGTGTCATATTTTTTGCGGAGAGTGTTTTTTGATATATCACGGTAAGTTTTTGATTTATATCTATACTTATTATTGCGCACGATTTAATGAAATGTTTGACATCTTTCAAGGCTTAATTTACATGAAAAAATAGCTTATTTATCAACTCATAATGGGTTTTGTTTGCGCGACAGTTGCGCAAAAATGACTTTATGCAACTTTGCGATACCAAGGGCGTAGAATTTGCGCTACTAATTTTACGCTACCAAATAAAGGAGCTTACACACATAGGCTTGCAGGTGTTTTTTTAGCTTTTGTAATATTTGTGTTTTTTTTGAGGTTTCGATTTTAGTTCCTGTGAAGGAATTGTATTTCTAGCAATAGAACTCTCCGCTTTTTTGTAACACATTTTAAGATAAGAGTAAAAGTTGACGTTTGTCATACTTACCTATTAAAAGTGTGTTTTATTTTGTATTACTGTCCTTACGTTACATATCTTGTACGCACTCCTTAACAATTTTGCGTTACCATTTTGCGTCACTCTGCGCTATGGACTCGTAGAAATTTTTGCGACACCATTGCGCTATTTGTGGCAAAATCTACGGCCTGACCCAAATACCTATGGTCACCTATATTGTATTTATTAAGGTAAACTATCTTGACACAAGTTTTTAACAAAATCACCCATTTTAAAAAGTGATATTAACGAAGCCAATAAACTATTAAAATAAATCGTTATTATAGGCTGAAACCTATTGAATCCAGTTATAAGTTGATTTTTAATGCTGTATTTTCAATATAAAGGAGTGTCAAGATTGTTTACCAAATAGGACAAGTTGGATGAACAGACTGTAGTATCTAGTAACAGAACTTTTATTTTTTATTTTTTTTAAACAGATTGTCCGTTTCCTATTATTAATTGCTAATAAGTTAAAAAAATAATAGTGAAGGACATTCTTTTGGGCATGCTAGGGCCGATTTCGTCGATGTCCTTTAATAGTATAAGTAATTAATATAAAAAATTGGTATAAAAAGTTTAATTATTGAAGAGTTCAAGCCACAAAAACAGCACAATATCGACTATTGCTCTTTGCCATATTAAATTATGTAGGTATCTACTTTATTCAATCAAATATTCACAATACAAAAGTTTAAGCACGGCTAACTGCTTAAAAAACAATTCACACCGTTCGGTCGTCGCTGCGGCGCATTCGCGACTGGATGCCCACCAGGCCACCAGGTGACGAACTCGAGTGGCGTACGTAGGTATGACACGCTTTCCGACCATTTGTATGAAGATAGAATACTGTATAGATAATAAGATAAGATAAGATAAAAACTCTTTATTGCACAACACAGTAACAAAACAAGCAGTTACAAAACAAGTAGGAAAATACAACATTGCACAAAGGGCGGTCTTATCGCTAATGAGCGATTTCTTCCAGACAACCCAATGAGCTGGAAATAAATAAGGTAAGCGAGTAAGGGAGGTTGTGCGGAACACAAGGCAAAAGTTTTCCTGATAATTAGATTAGAAGAAGACGAAAAGGGGGAAAAAAATTAAAAGAAAAGTACAATACAATAAGATAAATTTAAATTAATAGGTAAACATAAAATACTCAGATATTTCACAACGCTACCGAAACCGGTAAGTTCTAATGCAAGATTTATGAAAAATTAAGTTCCTCCGACAAAAAGTGTTCCTTAACTAGAGACTTAAAACAGTCTAAAGTTTGGGCACGCCTTATCTTTTCGGGCAGGGAATTCCAGAGTTGGATAGCATGTACTGTAAAAGAATGGCTATACGCCTTGGAAAAGTTAGGAGGAGTGAAAAGAAGAAGATTGTTAGATGAACGAAGTGGAAGATTATGGGAAGAAGAAAGAAACTGAAAACGTTCTTTGAGGTAAACAGGAGTTTTTGGATTGAACAGTGCTGAGAAAAGTAGGGATAATACATGTAGATCACGGCGACGACGAATGGGAAGCCACTTTAATTTTTGCCTGTAGTAAGAAACATGATCGTACTTACGCAAACCATATATGAACCTAATGGAAAAATTTTGCAGTCGTTCCAGTTTACTAAAAAGATCAAAGGTAGATAAGGATAACAAACATCTGCATAATCAAGAATTGGTAGAAGAAGGGAAGTTGCAAGAGAAATTTTGGTGGCAGTAGGCAAAAAGTTACGCAAACGCCGCAAAGATCCGGCTGCAGCGAAAGTTCGTCTACTAACCTCAGCAACCTGATGACACCAAGATAGGGTTCTATTAAATATTACCCCTAAATTCCGAACTGTATCAGAAAATGGGATAACAGTTCCATTCAAAGTAACTGATGGCAGTTGCTTAAAGTCCGTCCGTGATATGAAGTAAGGGCTACCAATAATTATGCACTGCGTTTTTGTCGGATTAATTGTTAGTCCAAATGAGTGGCTCCATTCTGTTATAAGTGCTAAGTCAGAATTTAGAATATTAATGGCACTGTTCAAATTTTCTAATCGAGCCTGTTTGTAAATCT